CATGAAGCTGTCAGAGCATCCAGGAGGAGCTCCACAGGCCTGCAGCTGGATGATGATCTGTTGATTGATTAGATCATGTTCTGCTCATGACGCTGTGCTGCAGCCTCAGACCTGAACAGGGTTTAGATGTTTCCTCTGAGCTGCTGCCCAGTGGTTGATCCTACATGAAACAGATCAGTGTTCCACATTCCAGCAGCTCTGCTGTAATGTTACTGATCAAAGGACCACATTTAAACCTTCACTGTAAATTAGAATTATAAAGTTCTATCTGACATTTTTGGCAAAATTGAGTTATTTACATTTTCTGATTCTTGGACACATTATCTATACAACACTATGTGTTTCTTAAAAAAATATGATTTTTTTTAGCTTTTAACAAAAACAGATAGTTCTATCTGCGATTTAAGCTGAGTGTTATAAAGTTCTGTCTGTGTTGGCCAATCAGAACACAGAATATACAGCAATCCACCAATCACATTACTGCTTGCAGCTACGTAGCCGACTACATGACCTGGCAGCTAATGGCAGCTTTCTGTCACCAAAATGTCTCAAAGAAGTTTAAAAAAAGACAAAGAGTTCAAGAAGTCCTCAGTGAGATTCTTCAAGACAGCAGCAAAAGCAGGAGGTCAGAGATTTTTCCTGTTTGGTTGTTTTTATTGTTTAAAAGTTAAAAACTACCATTAGCCTATTTAGCCTAGTTAGCTAGCCTAGCTAATCTTACTTCTGTAGCTTTGTTTAATTATCTTGATTGATTAAGCGACTGAATTTGATGTCTATGATTATGAAATAAATACCCAACAACACTATCACAACGATACGTCGACGTGTGTTGAACTAATGATGTTATTAATTAGTGGATGTAGTGATTGATTTAATGTCGCCCGTCACTCCTCGTGCTTAGTGTTGTTTCCTTTTTAAACAGGAAGAAAAATTCTAATGAAGATGAAGGAAAAACAAATGAGGCTCCAGAAAAGATGCTAATTAAAAATAAAAAGCAAAAGACGGGAAGACAACATGTCATGGATCAGATGGATCGGTGGTTCTATCTGCCGATGTGACGGCACGTTTTTAACGTTAACGTGTAATTCTAGTTTCTTAAAAAACAAACATTAGTGTTAAAGAAAACCACAGCATGGAAACAATGAGACTGAATGTCAGGCAGCAAAGATGCATGCTGCACTTTTATTGTTAAACTCTGGATCTGATTGTTCTGCTGCTTGTGACTGTAATAAATCCTAATATTGACCATTTTCTGACCATTTTTTTCTTCTACTGAATTCACATTAAACCTGAGTTAGACACCAAGTTCAGTTGTTTTCTTACTGTTGATTGTTTTTGTTGTGTATTTGTGATGAACTACACTTTTAAATGGAACTTAAACCTGCAGAGGGCAGCGTTCACAATATTATAAATAAGCAAAATAATGACATTAACTTTTGACCTGTGTTTGAAATGTTCATTTGATTCACACACGGTTCTATTCAAAGTTAGACCCGAAGATCTGGAGAGCAAAAATAATCAGCTGTGATTCAAGTTTAATACTGACGAAGGTTATTTAAACAAACTTCATAATTATCGTTGATCTGAAGATTTACTGAAGCATAATTGGTCGTTTCTCACGATAAAAAAAGAAAAAATAGTTCTGGAGCACAAGTTCTTGTTTTTAACGTGTTCTGCAGATAGAACTTTATATCCAAATGAAACGGGCCTTTTCAGAATTAGAAAGTTCTATCTGCAGAACTCCCACTTATACATTTTCAGATAATTTCAAACTACACATTTAGACTCTCTAGTATGCCTACAGTTCTCAAGCATGAACACAACTTCATGTTCATTTCACTCTGACTATGTGAACAGTCAGAACTTCAAACGTAAACATCTCCAAACTACCCAGAACGCAGGTAGAACGATGTGATTCTAAGGTGATGAAGGACCGTCAGCAGACTTCCAGTGAATGACTGTTGTGGTGAATTAGATCCTATCAGCTGTAAACATGGAGCAGATTCAGAATCGTGACTGAACAACAGACGGATTGGGTCAGAACAGGTACAGGTGTGCTCGTCTCACATGGACTTCTGTAACATTCATTATGTAGCTCTGTGGTCCATCTGCAGGAGGTTCTGGTTCCTCCTGTCCTCCCATGTAGAACGACAAACACCTGATCATTGATCTGATTAATTATCATCTTAGAGAATTACTGGATTACAAAAAGGTCATCAGACAGTGAAACAGCTAAATACATCAGAATAGACAGTGTGTCCACATCACCCTGACTTCCTGTCAAACCGGTTCCACAGTTAAAGAACCAACAACATGTAAACACACACCTTTACTGGACGAGGAGGTTCTCCACTGGGTCATGGCACAGAACTGGACCATCAGACCATCAGCAGCAGGTGTCAACCAGTCATGGTAGTGATCCAGTAAGTCATGGATGTCATGTGACAGGATCGTCCATCAGAACACGGAGCAGACAGCTGAGGCGGTTCTGAATGTCCACAGTTCAGTCTCATGTTCTGCTGCCAAATCAAGTTCATGGAGAGAAAACAGAAGAGTTTAGAAAAGCTTCAAGGATTATCTGAACATGTGGAACCATCCAGTACCGCTGGAGAACCTCCTCCTGTTCTGCTGCTGGACACAACATGACACGAGCAGTACAACACCGACTCGGTACCACATGTTTAACGGGTCAACAGTGATGTCATCTTATCCATCACAGCCATATTTAGTCTGGTCAGAACCTTGGTGCTGTTGTGTCCAGACTGCAGGTCCAGAACCTTCAGCAGCTCCTGATGTGCTCCAGATGTTCCTGGTGACTGGACCTCCGTCTACATCTAGTGCCGGGCAGAACTACAAACAGAAACTGTCTGATGAATGGACTCTGACCTAACAGAACCTTATCCTTAGAGCAGAACCCTGAGCGTTAGAGGTTCTGCTGCCTGACATGCAGGAGAACAAAGACCTTCTGGTAGGACACACCTCACTCTGAGCAGTCATCAGCTGCAGTGATTATATTAATGAACTGATCATTAATAAACCAACGACCTCCACTCAGTGTGACGTCTTCCAGACAAGCTGGAGTCACCACCTGGTTCTGCTGCAGCCCGTTCATCTGTAGTTCTGAACATATTCAGGGTGTTTCTGACCCACTTCCTGTCTGTTCCTCGACATCATTCCTCTCTCCTACAGCGTCCATTACAATCACATGCTCATAGGACAGCCAATAGCTGCTTTCCTCACTGAGGAGTCAGCACCACTGTCCTGAACCAGATCTAGGATCCCATCGATGAGGTTCTCCATGTGGTTCTTTGGGTTTATGTTCAGGTTCAGACTCTGCTCTCGTCCCTCAGAACGCCGAGGCGGCGCCCCCTAGCTGGCCCAGAGGACCTGACGATGGGCCAGAGCCCAGATGCGTCCTTCAGGATCAGAGCCAGGTGTGTTGCTGCTGCTAGCTTGAGTCTGAGTGAGTTCCTGATGGGAAGCTTGTTGTTGTCGTCAGGAGTTTTGTGAGTTCATCGTTAAACTGTGTGCTTGTTGTGCAGCTCTGTGTTCCAGAACATCACCTCCGGAGCCTTTAATTACAATCTGACCATGAAGGCCTACAGCGACCNCCCGTGTTCACACCTGTTCCCGTGTTCACGCCTGTACCCGTGTTCACGCCTGTTACCGTGTTCACGCCTGTTCCCGTGTTCACGTCTGTACCCGTGTTCACACCTGTACCCGTGTTCACACCTGTTCCCGTGTTCACGCCTGTACCCGTGTTCACGCCTGTACCCGTGTTCACGCCTGTTCCCGTGTTCACGCCTGTACCCGTGTTCACGCCTGTTACCGTGTTCACGCCTGTTCCCGTGTTCACGCCTGTACCCGTGTTCACACCTGTACCCGTTCAGTTTCCTGTTTACCTGGCTTACCTGTGCTCTGATTGGCTGTGCTGTTGCCAGGGCGACTGGGTTTGGCTGAAGAAGATTCCTGTGACCAAGACGATAACGGCTGTAAATCCAGGGACCCAGAACCTGTTCAGTCAGGTGAGCTGACAGCAGATCCCTGTTTGGTTCACGTGGTCCTCAGACTGTGAATCCAGACCGTGTTCTAACGTTCTGGTTCATTCTGATGTGTTGCTGAATCACCTGAGAACCAGGACAGCAGCTATTTGTGTGAACGTGACATGTTCTCCGGTTGTCCTCTAGTTGCGGGAGATGCGTCATGAGAACCTGAACCTGTACCTGGGTCTGTTTGTGGATTCGGGCATCTTTGCTCTGGTGGTTGAACACTGTCCTCGAGGGAGTCTGGCAGACCTGCTGGCTGACAGCAACATGAGGCTGGACTGGATGTTCAAGTCCTCCCTGCTCATGGACCTCATCAAGGTAACCGGAGGTTCTGGGTTCTGCGGGCAGGTGTGGAACCTTAGAGCTTCATGGTTTCAGGGTTTTAATGGTTTCAGGGTTGGGTTCAGATGCTGAGGTGTTGGTTTGTTGGACTCGGGTTTCTCTGCTGATCCCTTAATCCTGTTTGGAGCAACATGAGGCCAAGTTCCTGTCCCACTTTGAGAGATGAAATGTGAAGGTGACGGAGAGATTACAGCCCAACTGAGAGTCTACAGCAGCCCAGAGTAATGTCACTAAACTACTGCAGTCTGTGTCCCCTCGCAGTAATCACATTACTCCTAACAGCAGAGTACTGTCTCTGATATCAGATTACTAACTACCAGCTCAGATCCATACATGAACTTCAGGCTCCACAGCAGGAACTAAAGTCCACTAAGTTCTGCTCACATGTTCTGATGGANAAGAGTTTGTTCTCCTGGTGGTTCAGCTGTGCCAGTCCCGGCGACCAGACGGTGAAGGTGATGGGAAACGGACTGGGAACCTCCAACTCCTTCTCCTTCAACATGTTCCAGTTCTCTGGGAGCTCTGGTGAAGTCTACCTGCACTGCAAACTCCAGCTGTGCGTCAAAGCCAAGACGAGCTGCGACCCGGTACGCCTCGCTGCAACAGAACCGCACGTGGTCCGTTACTGTTTCAGCAGGTGGAGCTCAGGTGGTTCTCTGGATGTCTTCATTCATCGTAGAGTCCAACCTGCAGCTGGACGCCTCCAGACTCCAGAACGGGTCTGACCAGAACCAGAGAAACTGATCAAACATGTGATCACAGAAACCAGTTGAGGAGAAGATGAAGCTCAACGGACCGTATAGAAACCAGCCCAGGAGGTCAGAGCGCCGCCTGCTGGCCGTCCTGCTATTATGGGATGTGTGGAGGTAACTGACGGCTGAGCTCAGGTCTTTAGAGGAACCGAACTGACCCGATGTGAGGAGGCCCAGGTCAGTCCTGTGTGAAGCCACACAGCCTTCAGAACCGTCACAGTTCTGTTCATAACTGTTGTTTTGGATCTTTCTGCTTCTCAGGCTGATGCTGGTGACGTCAGACAGACATGCGCAGAAGAGCCTCACTCTGCTTTTCTTCACATTCCTTCACAGCCTGTCAGTCAGCGCTAAGCCCCGCCCCCTCCATGACTGACAGGCCGCTCAGCCAATCCCGTCCTCTGACTGGGCGGGGCATGTGCCTCGGGGGCGGGGCCTGAAAGTTTGAGCTTTTGTCTGAACTCTGGATGTTTGATCTGAAGTGGGTCTCAGACTGGGAGCACTGGGAGCACTGGGAGCTGTGGGCCGGCTGGAGGCCTCACCTGGACGTTACCTGCCTGCTCCTCCTGCGCACCTCCGCTCGCACCACCGACTCCTCTCCGCCCGCCACGCCGCTCTCGGAGCTCCCCTCTCGGCCCGGGAGGCGGCCTCGCCCCGCTGCTGCTGCTGGAGGAGACAAAGAGGAGCCGGGCTCATGTCCGTCCGCCTGCATCCGGACCTCTGCGGCCTCTCACCGAACCTGTCCGGGCTCCGATGACGGCAGGCATCAGGGATCGATAGCGGTGATCGGCTCGGCTCAGGTCCGCTCAGGGTTGGGTTCGGGGGTTCCGGGAGGAGTCATGGAGGGCGCCCCGGGAAGGACCTCCTCCCCCGGGCTGCTGCTGCTGCTGCTCCCGCTGTTGCTGCCGAGCTGCTGCTGGTCCGAGGAGGGTGAGTGACCAGAACCTGATCGGTACCTGACCAGAACCTGATCGGTACCTGATCAATACGTCCAGCAGAACAGGACGCAGAACAACAAACAGCAACAAGTGAAATGTTTTCTTCTTTTCTTTAATTTCACTGTAAACT